AAAATTGACTGAAAGTTAATTCCAATCATTTGAAAAAAAAATTGAATTCAGTGTCGAAGGTACCTATAAATACCTCATTATTTCAACTTAAATAGAGTAAGTTGACAGTACTCATATAGATTAGTTTTTTAACTCAAATGGTTTGTAGCAATCGGTTTCCTCAAATAGTTTGAGTTGCCTTAACTTATTGGGTTTTACAGTACTCAGTTGGTTTGAGTTTTTTTTCATTTATTGGGTTTTACTGTGCTCAAATTGCTTCGTTTACTCAAATTGATTAAGTTCACAGTACTCATTAGGTACAGTTTGGAACTTAACTGATTTGTTGCAATCGGTTTTCCCAAATGGTTTGAGTTAACTTCACACCTCTAAGAGACTAATTTAAACAAGCTAATACCAGAAAACCAGCTTACAATGTAAAAAAAATGCTATTTATTTATTTAATTAAATTAAGTTACAGTAACTATTAACGATTAAGTGGATTGAGCATAAAACAATTAAGTTGTCTCAAAAGAAATCTTAAGAATCGTGCTGCTTTAGCTCATTTTAAATAAGTAATTTAAATGAGCAGCAAACATCTCATTTTTTGTGTAGATTTTAGTTGTTGTTTATGGGCAGATTTTTAAAGGAGAATACCATCGAGTTTTTCTTTACTAGCCACCCTGAAATAGCAACCACCTTTAAAAAAACAAATAACCAGCAGTATTTTAGCATTGTTTTTCACTATACAATATATATTTTAATTGACAGTTGTACATATGGGATGCATGATTATTTTCATTATTAAATGTTTAAATTCATTATGAAACCTTGAACCGACAATAATCTCAAAGTACTAAAAATGCTAAGAATAAATAAATAAAAAAAAAAAATTTTTTTTTAGGAAGTGTTTTTATTAGTTTTACATTTTTCAATAATTACCAAACAACACAACAACAATAAAAATACACGATATAAGCATGGCAATACAAAGAAAATAATGGTAATAAGAATAATTAAAATAAAAACTATATATAAAAATTAAGTTACCGTATTATTAAAAAACCAATTGAGGCATATAAATGGTGTCAATGAAAATACAAAGAGGCAGTCAGTAGAAGTAGTGAGCACTACACTGCTGCTCAGAATTAGCAATATATTGATCCAGGTGATCGGGGAATGGTTGCCATATATTGTAAAACTTATCAAGATTATTAATAACTCTATACCGGACTCTATACCAGACTCTTTTGATGTGCAATATTTAAGTGAGATAAGTTAACCATGTCTTAAATTGAGGAATATAATCTGATTCCCACAGTTTTAGAATGACACTCTTAGCATTAAACAATCCATAAATTATGTTGCTTTGTATGAAATATAAAAAGTTTTTTTTTTTTTTATCAAAGATCAAGGTCCCAAGAATTCAAGAGCGTAAATAAAAGAGAAACAGATGTGAATAATAAAATTACAATACACTTTTAATTAGTTGTTTTCAATATTCGGCATTAGCTTACATTGTTTACTTAATCATTTTATTTTGGAAAAGGCTTTAGTTAATTTAATTTAATTTTAAAATATTTACTATATTAAAATATATACTTTCATGTTTTTAATAACAATCATTTATATTTCAATTACTAATAAAAGTATATTTTAGCTTTTTGCCAAGCAAGTTCTTAATCCAATGTTAATTCTAATTTCATTTTAGATTTATTTTTGTTAAAAAAACATATCAAATGTTTTCAGCAACTATATGGTGGTGACATAGAGGTGAAACAGCATTCATATTTTATTCATAAATATACATTTTCAAGGAAAATCCTCTAATCTCCTAATTAGGAGCATAAATGCTTCACCACACCTAGAATATGTCATGAAAATCCGCAGTCATCTTGAAAAAGCGTTTAATAATGCAGATGTTCCCACATGAATCACTCAAGCACGTGTTTGATGGCCTGGTTTGGGCGTGTTTGATGGGTGGAGTGTGGACTGAGGGTGACACACGTGCTTTTGGGCCAACATGCGGCTCTGAATTCATCCTTTGGGAGACGGGTGTGAATGGGAGACGGGATATTTATGGATGGCGAGCCCCTTGAGCACCTGTTTACCACTTGCCTGCTGGATTAGCACAGACCTGAGGTAAAAGGAATTTAAAAGATTAAAGAGTTACAAGATTGGGGTTGGTTTTTGATCAAAAACACATTTAAAAGATGTCCCTTTATTAAAATGGGGGTTTGCCACAGTGGAATGAACCGCCAACTTATCCAGCATATATTTTATGCAGCACGACATGTACTCACATCAGCGCATTCTAGATATGAACACGCTCTTTCTGGCAATTTTCCTTCTGCGTTCACACAGAGCAACATTCCGCCAAATTACTGGTAATGCTACAACTTCTCTTTCCAAAAATTTGCCAGAACAAATTTGCCGGTATTTTCAAAAAGGGCCTGTTCACAGATTCAGACCTTCTGGCAATTTTCCGGTGAGGTTTGTATGTGTGATAGGGGCTAAAGTCTCTTTAAGGTAAGTCATTTTTGTCAGCGGTCATCTTTGAAATGCCTCTTGAGCAGTATGCGTTCTGTTTGAAAGGGGAAACATTAAATTCTCCAAAATTGCTTGCCAAGCCTATGATTAAATTTCATATTATTGAATAATAACATTAAACAACAATAGTCTCTTTAGTTTCATTTCTAAAAATTCAAATCACAAAATCTGCAGAAACTCACATCTAGGCCGAGCTCCTTCCCCAGAGAATTGTCGGTCTATATCGATCAATAATTGACTCCTTTACTAAAAGATGGGGCTTCATTCGCCATATTGACGTTACACTTTTCCCCTTTCAAAATATATACGAGTGACATGTCTTGTGTATTATATGTGATTTCAGACGCAGCCTCCTTCTCTTCTTTGAATTGAAGTTTGATGTGTTGCCGTGGAACCTAAAACCAAATACAGTGTACAAATTATATATATTATAGCAAAACAGGCTAGGAACAAATATTTTCTGCCATCATTTAAAAAGTACGATTCAAATATAATAAATACATGCATACAGTTTACTCACAGCAGGAAGGTTGCTGGTTTGAGCCTCGGCTGGGTCAGTTGGCATTTCTGTGTGGAGTTTGCATGTTCTCCTCGTGTTCGAGTGGGTTTCCTCATGGTGCTCTGGTTTCGCTTACAGTCCAAAAACATGTGCTATGGGGGAATTGAATAAACTAAATTGGCCGTAGTGTATGAGTGTGTGTGAATGAGTGTGTATGGATGTTTCCCAGTTCTGGGTTGCTGTTGGAAGGACATCCGCTGTTTTAAATATATGCTGGATAAGTTGACGGTTCATTCTGCTGTGGCGACCCCTTATTAATAAAGGAACTAAGCCAAAGGAAAATTAATGAAATATTACTCACCCCAAACAGTAGTTAAGCCTATGTAAGAAGAGTTTGGGGATTTTGTCATTCATTCATTCAATAATTTTTTTTTGGCTTAGTCCCTTTATTAATCTTGGGTCGCCACAGCGGAATGAACCGCCAACTTATCCAGCACGTTTTTACGCAACGGATGCCCTTCCAGCCGCAACTCATCAATGGGAAAAGCTTGTTGTCATACTTTTAACAAATAAAAAGTTAAAACAAATATTTTTAATACATCTCAGGTTGAGATTATTTGTGAAATTGCATCTCTTACAATTATGTACAACACAAGGGTGAGAAATTAATGAGAGAATAAAATTTTTTGGTGAACTTTCCTTTTAAATCCTTGTATACAAAAAGATACTGGATATTTTCTCTGTACCGTCAAAGAAAAACTGAGGGATTATTTACAAATAATGATTAGAAATATATTTGTTAAATTCACTTTTAGCAGCATAAAATGTCTTTATTCTATACACAAATGCTTATAAATTACAGAATAGAAACACATAAAGATGATAAAAAAAATAGTCGGTATGGCACCGAAAAGATTTAAAACTCCAGATTTACAAGACAGAATAAGTAAAAAGTACATTTAAATCATTTTAAAAGGCTCTAAAACTTTTTAAATTTCACTCTTGACACTAAAACAAAAGCCAACTACCATCATCATGTATTGTAAAGACAACTGAACCAATCACAGCAGTCTCACCTACAGTGTGCAGGTTTTTAATGCGATGACTCTTCATTATTCCCCACTTTTAAGTAGTTAAAAGCATCACTTTACAGCAAGTGAACACAGCAAGTCCCTGCAATGCAGCTGTGTAAATGTGCAAATACAGCAAACACATGAAGCTGAATAAACCTGACCCTGCAAGACTCACATTCCTCTCTCTGAAATCAGATAGACTGGCAAAAAGAGTCAATATTCAGTTAGGTATCGGGAGTCACTTTCACGACACTACTAGCCAGGGCTCTGTTTGACTAGTTGACTAAGCAGATTGAGAGATTTATGGAGGACAGCAGGACTTGGTGGTTGTGCCGACTGTGGAAAAAGGCACATTTGCTCTGCTGACTGATCAAAATGAGGGTGAAATGGCGTGAAGGCAACACAGGATTGAGTCTAAAATAAAAGACGCGGTGACAGACATTTTTGGGTGAGTGGAACAGTGACGTAAGGGACAAAAAATAGTCAAAAACCTAATTCCGCTGCCAATGCCATAGAGTGACCTCAACACAAACAAAAAGAGAAGTGTTGTAAGCATGACTGGGACCTGCCAATATCATTCTCCCTCTGATTTCTCCACTAGTAACGGTCTGGCAAGGGCTGAAAAATCTCTATTCATGAGAACTGAAAGGAGCTTTTGTTGGACGCCTTTCACATTCCCAGTGAAGGATGTAAAAAGGAAGAGCCAGTGGCAGTAAGTAAGCAGACAGAAGCCGCTGCTGCTAGCAGACGGACACGCCTACTTGATGACTGGCATGTAGGCTGACCAATGAAAGGAGCGAAAGAGCGAAGCCGTCTAAAAATGACCCACGAGAGAAGGCGGGGTTATGCAAATCAGGAGCGACGCTTTGAGCAGGATGCGCTCCCGCTCTCAGCCATTCATTGGTCGGCTTGCGCGCGTGAAAGACAAACCTGACGCTGAGTGAGTGAGAGGGGATCCCGTTTGAATTCAAATACAAGGCTTCACGATGGCTTCAAAGTGTCCCAAATGCGAAAAGACAGTTTATTTTGGTAAGTTTGCGTTTAGTTTTTGTCTTATATTGTAGTCTACCTCTGTTTAAAGGAACGTTATGTTTTGATATAGTGCATGAGCACATCCATGCTGTGTTATGAAGGAAAGCAGTGATTTGTTTACACAGGTGCTGATAAAACTGATTTAAACAACTGAGGGATTCGTAAAAGTCGTACAATTCATTTAAATGCAGATATATTACTCACTTTATCGCTAGAAACCCAGTTATACTTTCTTGTGTCTTTTTTCCCCTGCAAAATATAAGCAGCTTACTTGATTGTATTTATTGAATAATGCACCAGTTTTATAGTTTCATTAAGCATTGGAGAGATGCATTCAAATAAAAAATGCAATAGAAAAAGAATTATTGTTACATAAAATTATTTGTATGTATAAAAAGTAACTACTTATAACTACAAGGCAAGTTTATTTATATTATAGCACATTTCATGCACAATGATAATTCAAAGGGCTTTACATAAACAAGAATAAAGAGACAAGTATAAGAACATAGAATAAAATTACTAAAACAGATTAAAAAGTTTAAAACAGGTTTTTAAAAAAGAAAAAAAGAAAATAAATTAATAAATTGGTAAATAAACTATGATGAAATGTCTGTATTTGCTCTCCTTAAACTGGTGATTGGCATTTCCACTTCAGAGGTCATGATCTTCTTGATTGTTTAAATGTCATAATTTATTCAACTGATATTCAGTTCAAAGCAGTAACACTGTTAAATTATTAACTCATTTTAATGATCAGTCGAACAATTAAACTGTTACCTTTTTGTTGCATTAGTGTTGTAGGAAAATTATAAACACATTTAGTATTTGCACTTATTTTTTATTATATTTGGAAAATAGTCTTTTTAAACATTTTAAATAATGTATGCTAAATTATGAATTAGACTTTTTTTGTTTTATTAATTTAATGTTGATATTTTTATTTTATGTCTTCAGTTTATGCAGAAAATGGCAAAACTTTTCAAATAATAGATTTGAACTATATTTAGAGACTTTCATTTATAAAGTTTAGTTTATTATTATTATTATATTTTTTTTACAGGGTTCATGGAAAACCTGGAAAAGTCATGAAATTTTGACATGGCATTTTCCAGGCCTGGAAAAGTTTTGAAAAAACTTTTTTAAAAGGTTTTGGAAAAGTCATGGAAATTACATTTACATTTAGTTATTTAGCAGTTGTTTCTGTCCAAAGCGACTTAAGCAGCGGTCACACTAGAGCTTGTTTTTGCGAAATTCTGTCGTATGTTGCTGTGAAAAGGGGTGGAATTTTGAATTAACTTCTATTCAAAACATGCTTGCGTTTTTGGTCTGCCGTATTTACATGCCTATGAATGGAAGTCTATAGAGCGAAAAGTGCAGCGTGATCGTGGCTTTACAATAGAAGTAGTTTTACCTACTATTACTAGTTTAAATAACTATTAAGATTATCTCAAATTAGACTAAATTATCTCAAATTTAAAACTAAAGAGATTGTTGCATGTTTTATGATATGCTGTTATCAAATTAAATGTTCATTGTTTTTCTTATGATTTACCTTGTATATGTAGACATTACATGAAACATTAGGTCATAAAAATTGACTTCAACGTTCTGGAAAAGTCATAAAATTTTGGTAGCAAAAATGAACGGTTTTTAACTTTTGATCAAAGTTTGCTGAAATCCATGCACATCATTTCCTTCAGCATTTGTTAAGAAAAGAAAACAATTTAAAAGCTAGTCTGCCTCTATTTTGCATTGCATTTTCGGAAAGTACCATACGCAGAAATAAATATGTAAAGATGCATTTTGAATGTCAGCATTTTAATTTCAGACTGCTGGGTGCAATGACAGCCGGTTTACATTCGCAGAATTTTATTGCCCACTTCTGTAACACTAATAATAAACAGTTGTGTCTAAGTCTTGTCTGTAGTTACATTACAATCACCCTTTTCTCTTATATTTTAACATAAACAATATGCTCCACTCTCTCTCGACCAGCTATTTTTATAATCTCTCAAATGAAAGAAACTTCCTGCACTTTGCTTTCATGGACATGACTGTTTTCTTTAATAATACAGCATGTGGCTCTTGGTGTGGACGTTTTGTGAGCTGAAAGATCACAGCGAACGCTTTACCTCTTCTCTTCATTTATATCCATTCTCTGGCCAGCACAGATATACTTCTCAAGCCATCAAACAGTTGAATAGGCTTTCTGCCACTTGACCTTATCATCCCTGCTCTCATATTTATAATGCTATTCATCAGTGCATCAGAGACCCTGTGCTTGAAACCGAGATGATTATTCAGCTCTTATTTATGTTGTATTATTCTGTATGTCAACTGACAAGCTATAATATACAACTAATAATGCTGTTGGGTGCTTTTAAATCAATGGTGTGAGCGAGGGGCTGTTATATAAAAGCAAGTGCAGCTCTTTGCATGACTGTGTGTCTAGTGGGTGGGCAGAAATATCTCTTGCTTGAGTGTTTTCAGCTTGTTCACATTCATTTTTGGCACAGCAATATCCAAACAGAACATACAAATTGATGCAGTATTTGCTACATTATAGCCTTATTAACTAGGGATGGGCACTGTTATTTTCAATATAGCGATAAAAGTTCTTAGTCAGCTGCAATAATATTTACACCTACAATAAGTCTGTGTGATGAATAAATGTACAACAGCAACATATGTGCGAGATGTATTTTGTGTGCGTATGAGCCTGTTTATAGATTGCCTACGATTATAGATTTTGGTTGTACGATTAAAGTCTGAGGAATAATTACGGTTATCATGATTTTTATGCATTTATTGATTTTAAAACACTAATAGTTTAGAAAATCACATGAAAACTCCTTATATTTTAAAGTGTTATTTATTGCTGCACAGAAACCAAATATTATAGCACACAAAAAAAAACCAATAATAATAAAATAATAATAATTATAAACAATAAGTCAATTTCTCTTTGGACTTAAAAATAAGTGAAAAGTTTTTGACATTTAAACAATAATTTTATACTGAAAATAAATGACAGAACAATGAATAAATAAATAAAAATAAGAATATTTTTAAAAACTTGCAGAGCGTGTCGTGTCACTTCGCTCTGAATATGGACGCTTTGTCTCCATTGGAAATAACGAACTTGCACACACAAAATATGCAAACGGCCCTTATTTAATAGCCTCAGCCATAGTTAATCCAGTTTGCATATTAGCCTTGGTGTACAAACTCGGAACTTTAAACTAGCGGACATTTTACTTAAACTTTAAACTAGCACGCATAACCTCAGTCGAGTGTTTGAAACAAATTTTTGGGACCAGACGTGGTTTCATATCACAGAATGAGTTAAGGTCGCAAGTTCTGTTGTTACAAACATAGTTGGTTGATTTGGTGTTTCCCTAATCTATCGTGGCAACAAACATTCGCAAACTGCGTTGCAAACTTGTATGCATGCAATTACACCTTTGGAGCTGTAGTTAGAAACAGTTCTTGGCAGTGTTCTATTTCCAGTTATCCCACCTATTCCCTATTCCCTTAAAACATTCTAACATTTAAATTTGGAATAATTTAAAAAGCACTGAAGTCATCACTCTTAGGTGTCATTTGCTTTCAAAGTATTTTTACCGTTCTGTTTTAGCGATCTTCATATTGACAATCGTGCTCCCTTAGCAGTGCACTTTGAAAACACTGATGTCATTTTGAACACAGCCATGGCTCATGACGAAAGCTATAGTTGACTATTTTTTAAAAGCGGAATTAATGTTACGTCTCTAAAGCTTGTGAAAACATAAAATTTTAATTTTAATTTATAATAGTTATTTAGTTATTTAAGTATCTGTACTGTATATGACACGAGCCTGCTGGTTATAACATTTCTGCAGTGGATTGCATGTATCAAATTGTAAATGTAGACTTTTCAAAATAAATAAACAATATCCTACTTAATAAAAATAATCGTCATAATCATCATCATAATCATCATTAACATTAACCTAATTATGTATTTATTTATATGATTTATATATGAGATTAGAATACGTGTTAGCTTTTGTAAGGGATTTTATTTTTTAGAATATAATATGTAATGTTCTCAATATTATTTGTAAAGGAAACACAAAACCCTGTGTTCCATTTACATATATTTCAATTAATATGGAAAACGAGTGCATGTTACCATTAGTTACCAAAACTAATATTGGATTTTTTAGATGCATGTGTGTGTAAAACAATATAATTTGCACAAAGAAATTATGAGGCTCTTCTCTAAAGAAGTAGTTACTCCACCATGTTTAGAGCATCATTATGGGCATTTTGCGTTATAACTAACGTGGTTCAAACAATGAATCTGCGACAGAGAAACTACGGGTTTTGGGAAACACTTGTCATCACATCGTTCTTTTGCTAAACGATGCATCGTACTAGTTCAGCCGCGAGTTACGTCATTGTTCGGGAAACGCATCCCAGATTATTTATTTACTTTTGTAATACGCAGATGTGGAGTTTATGCGTGAGGGTGCCCTGTAGTGTCCAGTATGAATTAAACATTTTGATTTTGTAAAAATGAATAAATAAATAAATAAAAATCAGCAAAGTAATAAAAATTGTTTTTGTCACTGATATTATAACACATTTTTACGTCCATGTCACCAGTCCTTACTGTTTATTTCTGACATTTAAGAGGCTTTTTGGATGACCAAATTTCATAAATTATTTTATGTACACAGACATTCCAACACAATCTCTCAGTTATTCGTAACTTTTTGATTCAGTGGCTAATTCGTATGAATTTGTACAATTTCATTCATACAATTTAGTACAATTTGCTCATCCCCCAATGGGTTTAGGGGTGGGGTTGGATGCCACGCCTCATATTTTAAATTGTACATTTTCATACAACTAAACTGGTACAAATTTGTGCGAACTAGCAACTAAACTGACAAAACGCTAAATAGTTATATAGATGGGTCTGTGAGTTGTTTTTTTCAGATTTTTCA